AAGCTAGCCTACTGGTTGGAGCGTCTGCCTCCTGGTGGTCATTGCATGTCAAAGCAACTGGTCTAACGGTCGGACTCTCAGCATAATGAGTTCTTATATAGGTTTATTGACTACATTTCCTAGGCTGTGCTTTACATTCCTATGACTATTTTGTATCTATCAATTTGTGCTCAAGGATGGTTTAACACATGCATATCAATAAATTTAATCCATTTATGCTTAAAATCCTCAATAAAGTAGGAATAGAAAGAAAGTATCTCAACATAAAGACCATATATGATAAACCCTCAGCGAATATCACACTCAATGGTGAAAAAGTGAAAGCTTTTACTTTAAGGTTATGAACAAGACAAGGATGTCCTACACTAGTACTCTTACTCAACATACTTCTAGAATTCCTAGCCAGAGGCATAAGGCAAGAGAAAGAAATTAAAGTTGTCCAAATAGGGTGGGAAGAAGTAAAACTGTCAGTTTTTGCAGGTGACATGATTTTGTACATGGAACTCTCTAAAGACTCCACCAAAAAATTATAGAAACAATAAACAAATACAGTCAAGTTGCAGGATACAAATTCAGTGGGCAAAAATCGATTGCCTTCCTGAATACTAACAGATTTCTGAAAAAGTGGAAAAAATAATTCCTTTTGCAGTTGGAATCAAAAGAATAAAATATCTAGGAATAAACATGAAAGATCTATATCCTGAAAATTACAAAGCCATATTTAAAAAGATTGAAAGAGACAAAACAAAAAGGAAAATATCCTGTGAAAGAATCAACATAATTTAGATGGCCCTATAATCCAAAGCCATAAACAGATTTAATGCATTCTCTATCAAAATCCAAATGTCATTTTTTAAAGAAATATGATGAGAAATCATCAGATTTGTTTGGAGCTACAAAAGACCGCGAAAAGCCGAAGCAATCCTGAGAAAAAAGAACAAAGCTGGAGTTATCACACTACCTGACTTCAAATTATACTACAGAGCTACAATAATCAAAACAGCATGGTATTGGCAGAGAAATAGACTTACAGATCAACGAAACAGAATGGAGAGCCCAGCTATATGGACAGATAATTTTCGATGGGGCCAGAAACACATAATGGAGTAAAGATAGTCTCTTCAACAAATGGTACTGGGAAAACTGGAAAGCCATATGAAAAAGAAGGAAACTGGATTACAGTTTGTCTTCAAGTATAAAAATTAATTTTAAATGCATCAAAGACTAATATAAGATCTGAAACAATAAGTTTCATGTAAGAAAATATAGGTCCCAAACTAATGCACCTTGGTTGTAGAGAACATTTTATGAACTTTATCCCAAAAGCAAAGGAAGTAAATGCAGAAACAAAGGAATGGGACTATCAAACTAAAAAGCTTCCACACCACAAAAGAAACTGACAACAAAACAAAGAAGTGACCAACTAGATGGGAGGTGATATTTGCAAACAATAGCTCTGCCAAAGGTTAATTTCCAAAATATATAAAGAACTCATAAAACTCAACACCAAACCAACAAACCACCCAATCAAAAGGTGGGTAGAAGACCTGAAAATATTCTCTCTCAAGAAGACATACAAATAGCCATTATGTATGTGAAAACATGTTCAACCTCACTATCAATTAGAGAAATGCAAATCAAAACTACAATGAGATACCACCTCATATATATTAGGGTGATTATTATGAACAAGACAAGCAATAACAAGTGTTAGAGAGATTGTGAACTCTCATTCACGGCTGGTGGAAGTGTAGACTGGTATAATTACTAAGGAAAGCAGTCTGGCAATTCCTCAAAAATTAAGAATAGTGTTACCATAACAATCAGCAATCCCTCTCCTGGGACTATAAACATAAAAATTGAAAACATGTATTTGCAAAGATAAATGCACCCCTATGTTCTTTGCAGCATTATTCACAGTGGCCAAGACATGGAAACAACGCATCCGGTGATAGAGGACTGATAAAGAAGATGTGGTATATATAAACACTGGAATACTATTGAGCCATAAAAAGGATGAAATACTGCTATTTGCAACAACATAGATGGACCTTTATATTTCCAAATGGATTTTAAGATGTTCTTTATTAATTTCTGCAAAGATTGCAATGTAATTTTGAAAGACATTACATTATATCAATCAATTTGTTTGAGTAATCTGTCAACTTAATAGTTCCAAACCATGAATATAGTATTCTTTCCATTTATTTGTATCTTTAAATATTTCAATAGGTTTTGTTGTTTTTTTAATGTTTACTTTGCTAAGAATACTTCACATGAGATCTACTCTCTTAATATTTAAGTGTACAGTACAGTATTAACTACATGTACTACGTTGCATTGTAGATCTCAGATCTAGAGCTTGATTTTTTTAACTAAAACTTTATTCTCATTAATTAATAACTCCCCAATACTACCTTCTCCAAGCTGGTAACAATCACTCTTTCACTCTTTGAGCCTATGAATTTTCACTATTTGTATGCATAAGTACAATTATGCCATATTTGTCTACCTATGACTAGTGTATTTCACTACTCAGATTATCTTCAAGTAAGTAAAATAATAAATATATATATCTACACTAATAAAAGAGAAAGATGCAAATTGACCGTACCTTCACGACGACCACCTGCCAACTAGGAGTGAGTATGCAAATTAACCCAACAAAGATGGCGGGTTAATGTGCATACCCAGGCACCAAACGGCCAGGGGTGGGATGCTTTCATCATTGCCATGGCGATGACAAGGCATTCCATACCACCCCAGCCGCTCCTAGTCTCTGGGCTGCATGTTAATTTTGTATCCTGCAACTTTCCTGATGTGTGCTAGTATGCATGCACTTGCTTGCTTGGGGAAGTATTTAACCTTGTGTACATTGCCATCTTTTTGGAGTTGGTATCTCTATTTAAATTGTGGAATGCTTATGTATTTGTATGTGTATACTAGTGGCCCAGTGCACGAAATTCGTGCACTTGCGGGTGGGGGGTGGCAGCCTGGCCTGTGCCCTGTCACAGTGCAGGAGCTCTGCGATCCATAGGCCCCACCCACCCATCTGGGGCTCCTCCATGGATTTCCCCAAAGAGGTAGGCCAGAGCTGGGGTCCCGCTTCCGCACCAGGAGGAGCTGCAGGACCCCAAGGCCTCTCTGCGTGAAGCTGAGGAACCCCCGGCGCAGGCGTGCGAAGGCTTCCGCTGCAGCCCCGCCCCCGTCCCCAATGCTGCAAGTCCCCGCCTACCCCCACCTGCTGTGCACGCAGCCTCCTGCTGATTGGTCTTATGTGTGAAGGAGTCCCGATCATGTGCATATTACCATTTTATTAGTGTAGATATGAAAAGAGATAAAAAAAATAGTGGGCTGTTTGTTTTTTTCCCCCCCCATTTATCACATTTAGAGTAAAAACTCAGGGTTTTTTTAGTCCCAATTGATATATGTATTTGAATTAAGTATATTACTCTATCCATTTAATACACATATCTGTAAATGACATTTCATCCTCCATTTATCATTCTTTAAAAAATGTCCAGCCCTGCCCAGCCAAAGTAGCTCATTTTGGTTGCAAGATTGATTCCAGATTGGGATGCATACGGGAGGCAACTGATGGATGTTTCTCATATCAATGTGTTTTTCCTCTCTTCTCTCTCTAAAAATCAATTAAAACATACCTATGGGTGAGAATTTTAAAAAATGCCTAAAGCCATTGGTTTTCCAAATGTGTTTTAAACATAAAATAATTTTATGTTTTTGTTTGGAGGAATTAAACATATCACAGTAACAATAATATATTTTAGCCTTAGAAATTTTTGAAAGAGAAGTGTAGGCAACGGCCTCATTTAGAAATTTGTCTGTACCTTAAATACTAACATTGTTAGATCATAACAACAGAAAATGTTGTTTTTTTAAAAACATAGATCTTTTTCTAATAATATTTAGAAAGACTATGTAATTGTTGAATAATGCAGTTTTGGATTTGCAGGTCCTTTACATTGATTTTTTTTCTTAATAAATACATATAGTACTGTAAATATATTTTATGAGTTTCTTAACATATTTATTGTATAAAAACATGCCCTGGCTTGTGTACTTAAGTGTTTACAGCACTGGCCTTTGGACTGGAGGGTCTCAGGTTCGATTCCTGGTTAAGGACATGTACCTGGCTTGCAGGTTCAATCCCTGGCCCTGGTTGGGGTACATGTGGAAGGCAACCAATAGATGTGTCTTTTCACATTGATGTTTCACTATCTATATTTATCTCTTTCTCTATCTCTGTCCCCATCCCCCACCTGGAAGTCGACATGGATTGTTGACTGCATAGGAGTCAGCATTACCTTGTTCAAGGGTCAATTGTATTTCAAAATTAAGATATTTAACTACTTCTCTTGTCTTAGATTTGTAAAGGATAATAGCAGTGTCTCTATTTACTTATTAAAAATTTGTGCATATTTTTGAAAGTTGTTCTAGACTAAGTATATATTTGATGATAGAATAAACCTATAGCTTTGTGACGGTGAAATAACATGAGGTTGAAAGAATTTTCTAACTTTAGGAATACAGCAGATTTTTATAATGTCACTAGAGGCCCCATGCACAAAATTTGTGCAAGGAGCTCGGCCCCCCACCATCATGGCTTCATTCGGAAGGACATCCGGTCTAATTAGCTTATTATGCTTTTATTATTATAGATTTTGTTGACACCTTGTTATTTGGAAGGATATTTTGATTTTATTAGCTGTTATTCCAAACAAGACTGTCCTGGTTTAAAGAATAATCAGTTAATAAGTTAGCAGTTTCAGATACGCTTTTATAATAGAAACTTAAATTATTATTATCTAAATATTTATATACAAGCTAGTTTGAAGTATGTATTAGTGTTAGTTTATTTTATTACTTGAAAAGTTAACTAAATCAAGTCATCAGTTCCTTTTTACAATATAGAGTATTTCTATTTAAAGGTTTATCATTTTTTTCTATGAATATTCCTCTTTTTTTTTTTTACTCTTTAGAAGAAGTATCATTTTGCAAAAGAAGCCTATGAACAACTTTTACAGACAGAAAACCTACCTGCACAAGTAAAAGCAACTATTTTACAACAGTTAGGTACATAAAAATTTACTTTTTATTATATATTGCATTAATTTAGAAAAGTTTGGGGTGCAAGGAAACAATTTTAACTTCCAATTTAAAAGTCAATATTTATTTAGAATTCTGTGTTTTAGGATCGTGACATGCATTATTGTGAAATTGCACTTAAAATGAATACTCTATTATAAATGTGTTCTTTTCTTTTGTTCAGAATTGGGATATTTACATCTAACGTCTAGCACAATTAATCTCAAAGTGATTCCAAATATAGTGCTTCAGTGCAGCTAATTCTTTTAAATTCTGTTTATATCCTAGTACTTTCCCTTCTGAAGGATGTTTGAATACTTGTATATGTGTTTAGCACTCTGTGAACTTAAATTGAATTAAAATAATTTGCATAGCTAGTAAGTGGCTTCTGATATGAATAAATGTAAACATCTCACCTAAAAATGAAAGAATACTCTATATTTGTTTTATAAGTTTATTATATTCTTATGTATTAAAAGAGAAAAATTTGATGCCCAAAAGTAATTTTTATACTTAGAATTTTCCCAAGTAATTCATATTTTTGGTTATCATTTTTAGGTTTAATATTTGGGTTGGTATTGTTTGCTTTTCTTTTAGTTTTTATTTGGTCTTGATTAAATAATTTCTAAATTTTAATCAAAATTATGAGTGATAATATGAGTATTTTTATAATTACATTATTTTATTTATAACATTAAACATAATTAAAGTTTGCCTAAGTGGCATTTTTGCAAAGGTATTTAAATATACTTGAATTGACTCACAAGTGAAAAACTGGTTTCTATTTGTACTAAATGATTAATGTTTTTTTCATAACATAATCTTTTCATTGTGTTTGTAGCTGTAATTGTAAACACTAGACTGCTTTGAGCCTGTTTTTCATTTAGATTTCAATATAGCTTTAGAGTTTTCCTGTTTGGTGTTTTTATTCTTGGTGAAATGTTAATGAAAATAACCAGTGATTTATCTTTGATTATCTAAGTTGTTATCTATTCCATAGAAATAAATATTGCTTTGCTAGATTTTCAAAAATACTTCAACCTTGTTGTTGTTTTGTGAATCCTCATGGAAGATATTTTTGCTATTGATTTTTAGAGATAGTGGAAGGGTTCGGGGAGAGATAGAGAGAGAAACATCCATGTGAGAGAGACACATCAATTGGTTGCCTTCTGCATGCAACCCAACCAGGTTGGGGGTCAGAGCCTATAACCGAGTTATGTGTCCTTGACCAGAATTGAACCCGAGAACCTTCAGTCCGCGGATGATGCTCTAACCACTGAGCAAACTGGATAGGGCAAAAATACTTCAACCTTTAAAGGTATAGTAAATTAATCATGTTTATATTATTTGGCTCATAAGTTGGACTTTTCTAGTTAGTTTCTAATCTATTTAGTGCCAATTCAGTACCTGAAATCAGTTAAATTTTCTCTCTGTTCTTTATAAGACCTTGGTAGCTTTGGTTGTATCTTTACCTGTGAAATTTGTGAAGTTTGATCAAAGGTAAATAAAAATTACTGAAAGAGTATTTTAATTGGTGTTCTTCTATTTTTAAAGCTCATAGGATAGTTGAATTATGGGTAAATGATTATAATTTTTAAATTATAGGATGGATGCATCATAATGTGGATCTACTGGGAGACAAAGCCACCAAGGAAAGTTATGCAATTCAGTATCTCCAAAAATCATTGGAAGCAGATCCTAATTCTGGCCAGTGTTGGTATTTCCTTGGGAGGTGAGACCAGACACTTGGATTATACTGCTTAAAGTTGACTTAAAATCCAAATTGTTAGATCATGTAATATAACCTGGTCAGTAACATTTTATTTAAAATACAATATAGCAAAAAGTCTTGGGAGATAAAACTGGGTCTCTTAAATTTGGTGCTTTTACTGAAAAATTATTTTGCTTATTTCTGTTTTCACACTGTGTTCATGTGATTTGAATTTTGCTCATTTTTAATGAAAAATGAGCAATAATTAGTTTTTAAAAGTTTTAAAGAATCTTTTTTTTTTAAAGAATCTTAGAAGATAGTAATCATTGGTATTTTTTTATTCAGCATTTAAATTGTGTTTCCCCCGATTTCTGTCATTTTTAATGTATTCATTTTTATTGATTATTTTTATTCTGCCTGATGATTATCAGTAGCCTATAGAAAAGTTCACTTAACAGTCCCAGATCTCAGTTTTTATTTAACTTATAAATGAAAGAATTTGGATTATATCTGTCAGACCTTTATTCAAGGTTATAAACTTAATTCAATTGTAGTGCTTTAATTGTACATTTTGCTCCAATTAAAAAAAAAATAAGAATAGTTCATTAAAAACTATGTGGAAGTTTATGATGAAGTGTAATTGAAATTTAGTTTTTGAGTTAACTTTAGATGTGTTATTTTTTAAATTTTGTAAATTTAAGTATCTTTTAAATTTTATATATTTGAGGGCAATTATTACAATACTTTAAAAAATTTATTAATCATGAAGTTAGCTACTTTCAATAGAATTCTTTAAAAAAATATATATACTTAAATTACAGTTGACATACGCTATTGTATTAGTTTCAGGTATACAACCCCCATGATTAGACATTTATATAACTTACAAAGTTATATCAATCTAGAGGTGATATGACACCATACATAGTTATTACAATATGTACTTTTGAATCCTTTCACCTTTTTCTCCCATTCTCCCAAACCACTTCCCACCTGGCAACTTTCAAAATGTTCTCTACTTATATACAAGCTTTTATCTGTTCTGCTTTCTGTTCTTGTTACTGTTTTTAGATTCCACATATAAATGAAATCATGTGGAGCTTGTCTTCCTCTGTGTTATTTCACTAAGCACAATATTCTCTAGTTCCATCATGTTATTACAGATCGCAAGATTTCATTCTTTTTTATGGCTGAGTAATATTACATTGTATGCATAAGTTATACTTTATTCATCTATTGATGGACACTTTGCTTCCATATTGTGGCTATATTAAGTTTTATATGTTAGCATTCCTACCACTGTAGATTAAATGAGTATGAATCTGGATATTTTATTCGTTGTGGCTCAAGATTTAAAATTGATAGCTTGAGATAATATACATAATATAAGGAAAATTGTTGTTTAATCACAGCTATGTATGTCCAAGATACAATGAAGTATGTTTAGAAATGATAAACTTTTTCATGTCTTTGAGAATAGCAATCTTTTATGCAAGGCTTTTCATAATTACCTGAATTTAAAACATGACATGTGCTTTTATTTTTAATCTTGTTAGGTAACTACTGAATATACAGAAAACTTTTGATTTCTCAAATAGAAGATACTTTTTCTGAGTTCGGGATTATCATTTTAGACAGTAATTATTTTTAGTCTGTTATATTTTTCTATGATTTTGTTCTTACTCTCATCTACTGCCTTTTACTATATTGCTTTATTGTTAGAGAAAATCAAGTTTGTCAAAAAGTTATATTTTAGAACTTATTAAATTTCCAAATAAAGATTTCAATGTTAATAAAATTGATTGGGATTTGATGTCCCTAGTATTTCAGAAACTTCTTACTTCTGCATTTAGCTCTCTAGTGCATATTGATATTGCATATAGGGTGTTCCCCAAAAGTATATACACACTTTTTGAATAATTATAAAGTCACTTTTTATTAAAATACATTTTATGTTCCATATTGAGCTATCAGCTGTTAAAGTGTGTAATTGTGAAGGTAGCTATGACCTCTCACAACATCCCACAGTCACAGAACTGTTAGAATTGGGAATGATCAGGCAGCACCTTAGTTCACCCTCTCATTTTACAGATGAGAGGAGTGGGTCCAGAAATAAAAAATGTTTTCAAGTTCACATAGCAAATTTGTGTCCCAGAAAGACATAGAACCCAGTTTACTCAGTTTGCTACTTCCATTAGATAAGCCAAACTCAGAGGAAGCTGGATAAATTGTGTTAGAAGAAAAGTATCTGGTGATGAAATCCCAAATATTAGTATCCCAATATTAGACACATTGACTTTCTCTTTGGACAATTTAAAATTTGAATGTGAAAATGTTGGTTTCAGAAATTACTTCTTATTTCTCTTAGCATTTAGGAAGATTTGTATAACAATCTGAAATTTGGTTGTTAATAAAATATTTTTCTGTTATTACATTGTTTCTTATCTATTCTTGTTTGTATCACTGCTGACACATAGATTGTTTTCACACTTTGAATTTGCTTTCTATTTTGTGCTGCCATTCTTTTATCTCCCAACCCACAAATTAGCCACCTTAAGGTTTACTTCTTTCCTTCTCTTATGTGCACCTTTAAACCACTCTGTCATATGGGTGAATTCTAAATTAAAATATCTAACTCTTAAGATGTCTAAACCTAAATTTTACTCTTCTTTTTACTGAATATTATAAAAGTCAGTGCCATACATCTCAATCAGCATCTTTTTAAAACATCACTCATGTTCTTTCTCAAAGCAGTTACTCTTTTATTATTTTGTTTTGACATTGACTGATTTTTTTAAAAATACAGAGCACATTTAAAAGCAAATTTCCTCAAATCTAATTAAATCATTGAGTCTTTATCAGTAATTTGGTGTTATTCTTTCATATAATTTTCATTATTTCCATTCTAGTCCTGGCTCAAGTGTATCAGCTTTGTAGTTTTATCTGAAATTTATTTTCACTTCAATCCCTTAATTTTTCATTATACGTTGTTATAAAATTGTTTCTGTAAAGTGCTTTGTTATGCCACTTACCTTTTTGAAAAGACAAGCCTCAAGTAGACCACAATTTGATCTAAAATTATCAGTTTATACACAGGCAAGTTTTGCTTCTAATATTCAAACCTATGTGAAATGCCTTCTGTCCTGTTTTCTGCTTAATCTGTGGTTCTCAACTATTTCTGCTAATTGGATTACCAAAATTTCAACAATTAATTATAGTGCCCAACTTATAGTTGCTATACAATTCAAGATATTAAAACTTTTCTTTTATTGCTATTTTCTATCATCTAATGCCATAAAAAGTAAAAGTATACAAATAGTTTTATGGAAACACACACACACACTATTCCTACATCTTTAAAATAATGTTAAGGACAAAGAGAACGAATTATGGATATTTTTATGATAAATTCAGTTTTATTTCTTAATAGTTGACAAATAGAACAATCATTCTTTTACACACAAATATATATGTAATTTTGTATTTTTGTGTGGTTATTTGATTGATAAAACCACCATATTCTGGCCTTCCTCTTAATACCTGTACAAATTTATGTTTTATATTAACTTAATAGCATTAACTATCTCAGTTTTTTACTTTTCATGAATTAACCAATGTTCTGAGAGTTGGAAGTTCAGAAATGAAAATTCAGATCTGCTAAAATCAAAATTAGTTTCTGTTTGTTTTTTTAGCTCTATATTCTTATTATGTAGGAAATCTTAGTTCAAATTGCATAAATAGAGCTCTGTGTGTTTAACTGCAAATATTATTTCATTGAACACATTTGGGCTATGATGGTTTCAATAAAGTTCATTAATATAATGTAATATAATAAAGTTCATTAATATAATAAGAGAGTTCATTTAAAAGCAAATTATAATGTGGACATATACACTGAGTGGCCAGATTACTATGACCACCTGACGTTTATAGGCAAATTAGCAATACACTCCATTGTATGGGATATGGAAGCCGAAGGCCTGTTCGAACACCTTTGCTGTCTGCAGTTACCAAGATAAAATGTCTCCAATTCGCACAGGAACACAAGGATTGGACAGTCGAGCATTAGAAAAAAGTCATGTGATCCAATGAATCACGTTTCCAGTTGCATTATGCAGTTGGCAGAGTGAGATTTTGATGGAAACAGCATGAAAGCATGCACCCTTCAAGCTGGTGGGGGCACAGTTATGCTTTGGGGCATGTTTTTCTGGCATGATTTGGGCCTTTTAATTCGTGTGGAACAACATCTGAATAGCACAACATACCTAAGTATCATTGCTGATCAAGTTCATCCTACCATGTTGATGGCGTATCCCAATGGAGATGGCTTCTTCCAACAAGACAATGCGCCATGCCACGGCGCTCGTATTGTGCAGGAGTGGTTTCAAGAACATGAGGGAGACTTTACCTTGCTTAGGTGGCCCCCACAATCACCAGATCTCAATCCAATTGAGCATTTGTGGGACGAAGTTAAAAGAGCCATCAGGCAGCTGGTTCCACAACCATCAAATCTCACAGAACTGGACAGTGCTATTCATCAGGCATGGTGTCAGATTCCTCGCATCACCTTTCAACATCTCATGGAGTCAATGCCAAGAACAATTGCAGCAGTATTGAAGGCAAAGGTGGCCCAACGAAGTACTGATGGGGTGGTCATAATAATCTGGCCATTCAGTTAATACTAGAGGCCAGGTGCACGAAAATTTGTGCACTTGGGGGTGTCCCTCAGCCTGGCCTGCACCCTCTCGAAGTCTGGAATCCCTTGGGCGGATGTCCACCTGTCAGCTTAGGCCTGCTCACCAGGGGATTGGACCTGAGCTGGTAGTCAAACATCCTTCTGGCAGCCAGGGAGCCCTTGGGGGATATCCGACTAACGGCTTGGGCCTCCTCCCTGTGAGGAGTGGGCATAAGCCATCAGTGGGACAGCCTTAGTGCTGCTGCAGTGTGGGAGCCTATCCCGCCTTCTGCCGTGCATTGACCAGCCAAGAGCTGGCTTCTGGCTGAGTGGTGCTCCCCCTGTGGAAACTGACTGACTACCAGGGGGCAGCTCCTGCATTGAGCGTCTGCCCCCTGGTGGTCATTGCATGTCATAATGACCAGTTGTTCCCCATTAGGGTCAATTTGCATATTACCCTTTCATTATATAGGATTATTATATAGGATATGTGTATTGTCTAGATATTAGCTTATTAATGTTTTTCCTTTCCATATATGTCATTTTGGCAAATGTTGCTTTAATTTTTAGTGGAATACTTCATATATATGTTTATGGCTATCTGATTTTCTCTATTTTTATATATATATATCTCCTCTTTTCCCTTTACAGGTGCTATTCAAGTATTGGGAAAGTTCAGGATGCCTTTATATCTTACAGGCAGTCTATTGATAAATCAGAAGCAAGTGCAGATACATGGTGTTCAATTGGGTAAGGCTTGTGCACATAAGAGTAACAGCATTTCAATAGATACATAAATTGACTGAAATAGATAAAGAATAATGTTATACCCAGTCAGTTTGCCTGTTCTTTGTTTCTCTTTCCAGTGTGCTCTATCAGCAGCAAAATCAACCTATGGATGCTTTGCAGGCATATATTTGTGCTGTACAATTAGACCATGGGCATGCAGCAGCCTGGATGGACCTTGGCACTCTCTATGAATCCTGCAGTCAACCTCAGGATGCCATTAAATGTTACTTAAATGCAACTAGATGCAAAAATTGCACTAATACCTCTACACTTGCAGGAAGAATTAAGTTTCTTCAGGTAAAAATTTTAAGTAGCATGTTTTACAAGACACATTTTAGTGTGATAACTGGTAGAAAGTGGGTGGCTGGGAAGTTTGTATATTTTTGTTTTGAGGTCAATAATTTGTTTTCATAATTTTTAATATTTTGTGATATTTTACTTTTTATTTTAGTTAAGCTCGTAGCATTTAAAATATTTTTTGCACATAAGTTTTTTGATGCACATTAATTTGCATAATTTTTCAGTTTGTTTTAACATTTTAGAGAAAAGAACACTTTTTTTTTGTTTTGCTTGAAATTTCATGAGAGAATACTCAAGAGAATTCTGAAAAACAGAACTTAGCTTTGTTCTGATTCACCCAAGTATATCCTAGCCTCCCTCTTTATACTTAGCATATATCTAAAACCCCACAATTAAAATATGTTTTCTTTAAAAAATAAGTACCTGTAACATTCAGGAAGAGTTAGTGGACTTACTTTAGTAGGCCTGTGTTAAATTTGCTTTCTACATAATTTTTCCTAGGCTCAGTTGTGTAACCTTCCACAAAGTAGTCTACAGAATAAAACTAAATTACTTCCTAGTATTGAGGAGGCGTGGAGCCTACCAATCCCCGCAGAGCTTACCTCCAGGCAGGGTGCCATGAACACAGCACAGCAGGTGAGAAGTTGGGTTATGTTCTGTAGGTACCCAGCTTTAAGGGTTCTTTCCAGTCTGTGGTGATCAAAGTTACATTACTAAGAGCAGGATTGGCATTTTGAAAAAACTCTTTCAAATTTAATTGGAAAGGGATTTTAGATAAAAATAATGACTTCCTCTGATATGGGAGGAATCTTGACATAACCTTTTAAAACCTTAAAGTTTCTCATGCTTTTGGAAGGGATTTCTTAAGGGACTATCATACTGATTTGTTTAAATGAAAAAAAACACACAACTTTTTCCATAGAAGGTACACAATTCTCCATTGATGATTCATTTGAGTTTGTTTTTCAATAATTTTATTACATGATGTTCACATAGTTTTGGAAATAATGTAGCTAAAAAAAGTTTTATAATTGGAAGGAAGGAATTATGAATATGTAGAACCGTATTTTTGTCTTCTGTAATCCTTAGGCTTCTAAAACTCATCATCCAAAAACTGAACCTGTATTAGGCCTCAGTCAAACACCAATTTTACAGCAACCCTTGCCAGTACAAATGATTCCTTCTAGCCAAGTTGATGGCCTGTCCAGTCCTGTCAAGAAGAAAAGAACATCTAGTCCAATAAAGGTATATGTAAATTTTAGAGAAATGAAAATTCCCAATCAAAAATGAAGCTTTTGCCCTGGTCACGTAACTCAGTTGGTTAGAGCATTGTCCCAATATGGTAGGATTCCTGGTTTGACCTCTGGTCAGGGCAAATACAGGAATCAATCAATGAATGCTTAAATAAGTGGAACAAAAATAGATGTTTCTCTCTCCCTCTCCATCTCCATCTTCCTTTTCTTCTCCCTCTCCCTGTTCATCCTCTTCTCTCTCTAAAACCAATGAATTTTTTGAAAATGAAGTTTTTAAGTGTTCTGAAGAGTTACTTTGTCTTATATTTTAAACTTCTTGTATACAAGGGTGAAAAGTTCTTCAGTTATTGGCAGTATATTCTGACATGAAGTTGTAGTATTATTTAAATACAAGAGCTATAGCTTTATGTTCATCAAATCATTTTACTCATTTTCCTGCTTTTACAAAATTAATACTCGTTTTTCCACCACATTCTGCTAACATTGTAATACATTAAATTTTGTAGATAATGAAACACCATGTTAGTTTTTCCAACCATTATTTAGTAGAGACTTTTTAAGGTGGACTAAGTTAAATTCATAGGTTTCTAATTTGATTATTCACTTAAAATTATTTTTAAATGATTTTAAAACAGAAGTCCTATGTATAAAAATTCTCCAGTTCTTAGTCTTATGATTTCTCAATACTCATTACAGTTAGAGTTTGAATTCAACCATATATTTTTCAGAATTAAAATTTTTACAGAATAGTTCTGAGAACTCCACCAGTGGTCAGACTGTTTCACACACTTAACTATATCGCAACAGGCTAATGCATGGTATTTGCAATTACAGAAATGATAGATATGAAATATTCTATCAATAGTTTTTGCCCTATATTAAAATAGTAGTAGGAATCCTTTCAGATATTTTTAGATACTAATATAGCCATTCCATTTTAAGTGGCAAGCATAATGATATAAAGTCTCCGTGATTCAGCACAGGACAAAAAAAAAAAAACACCAAAAAAAAAATCAAACACCTGCAGAGTTTATAATTTTGTTTTGTTTTTTAATTCTTTTAATGAATTAATCCACTCATGTGTTTAAAATGTAAAAATTAATAGAAGATGGGTATACCACTTAAAGGCTCCTTACAGTTCCTTCCTTTAGACACTTAATATCCCTTTCCTTCCAATAATCAATGTAAATAACTTCTTTTGTGTTTTTATTTTTAGAGATAATATTGTACATGTACAAGAAAAAATGCTTGTATTATAGATCCTTTCCTATCTTTGTTGTACAGTAAATGTAGGTAGAATGTTATATATATTAGTATTCATGACTTTGAAAGATCTATGTATCTTCCAGACCTTTTTTTGTCTATCTTACTACTTCCTTGTTCTTTTATAGCTACACTAGAGTACCAGTGCACAAAATTCAAGCACAGGTAGGGTCCCTAGGCCTGGCTGGCAATCAAAGCCAGCCGGGGCCTTCCTTCCCGGCCACCCCGTGGTGGTCAGCGCATGTCATAGTGAGCAATCAAACTACCTGTTGGTCAAACTCTTGGTGGGTCAATTTGCATATTAGCCTTTTATTATATAGGATAGGACTAGAGGCCCGGTATACAAATTCGTGCACGGGGGTGTCCCTCAGCCTTGCCTGCACCCTCTCCAATCTGGTACCCCTTGGGGGATGTCTGACTGCTGGTTTAGTCCTGATCCCACAGGGCCAAAACTGGCAGTTGGGCATACCTCTCGCAATCTGGAACTGCTGGTTCTTAATGACTTGCCTGCCTAATTGCTCGGAACCACCTCTGCCTGCCTGCCTGATCACCCCTAACTGCTCCCCTGCCGGCCTGATTGCCCCAACTACCTCTGCCTCGGCCCTGCACCTGGGACCTGGACTTTCTTCCCTCTGGCTGGCTGCAGGCACTTGGGACCTGGGCTAGCTTTGCCCGGGCTGCAGGCACAGGTGCCTGGGACTTGTGGTGGGACGGCTTCGCCTCGCTGTTTGTAAGCCTGCCTGCTTCCCAACCGCCTGATGAATTAATTTCTTAAAGTGAGGGCTGCCTATTATAGAGTTTGTGCTCCTGCCAGGCCCTGTTCTCATGGAACTCTCCAGCCCAGGGCCTCAGCCACGGGTGCCTGGGACCGGGTCAGGGCAGCTTCGCAGACACCGGTTCCGGGGGTAGGGCAGCTTCACCTGGGCCGCAGTCACAAGCTCTTGGGACTGGGGACAGGCGGCTTCTCCCAGGCTGGCTTTGTCAGGAAGGACGTCTGTAAGGTCTTTCGGAAGACATCCGGTCTAATTAGCATATTACCCTTTTATTAGTATAGATAATATTACTTTTTTTCTCCATGTAAACTGCTGTTGATTTAACTAGATTCCTATTTTTGCACTTTTGGTCATTTACAATATTTCTTCTACAAATAATGTTGCTTTTAAACTGCTTTGTTATAATACTATATAATAAAAGGCTAATGTGCAAATCAACTGAATGGCGGAACAACCGGTCACTATGATATGGACTGACTACCAGGGGGCAGACACTCAATGCAGGAGCTGCCCCCTGATGGTCAGTGCGCCAGAAGCCGGCTCACAGCTGGCGAGTGCAGCTGCTGTGGTAGGAGCATCTCCTGCCTTCACGCCAGTCAGACATCCCGCAAGGGCTCCTGGACTTCCAGAGGGCGCAGGATGGGCTGAGGTGCCTTCGCCCCACCCCCTTCTCCTCCCACCCACTCCCAGTGCAAGAATTTCATGCATCGGGCCTCTAGTACATTATAAGGTTAAATAGCTTTATTAAGATTGTAATTTCTTGGATAGAGCATTGGCCCATGGAATGAAGGATCCTGGGTTCATTTCCGGTCAAGGTTATACTAGGTTATAAGCTTGGAGTGTGTGCAGAAGGCAATCAATCAATGTGTCTCTCTCTGTCTCTCCCCCTTCCTTCCACTCTCTAAGAATAATGAGAAAATGTCCTCAGGTGAGGATTAATAACAATAACAAAAAGATTGTAATTTCTTCTTTGCAAAATATATTTAACTAAAAACACATAAATAACTTTCAGATGAATTTATGGTTTTTACCATTTTCCTCAAAGAACTTAATCTTTGCATTAATTAGTTTTGGTTAGAAATCATTATTATTGATCACACAAAGGTTCTGAGTTTATAGTCTTTTCAGTGATAGGTTACTTGAGAGTGTCTTATTTCTTAGATTTAACTTTGTATTCTTTTTCATTTTATTAGCACTTGGAACAACTACATGCAAATAAAGATAATTTAAATCCAGCACAGAAGCTGATGCTGGAACAGTTGGAAAATCATTTTGTTTCAATGCAACAAGTATGTATACCATTTTTATTCCAGTATTTGTTATGTTAATTGTTTTTCTGGACTAAAATGTTATTTAGAGTATTTTTAATGCTCAACTTTCTACATATATTCAATAGAATTTATATATCTGAATTTAAATACTAATAAACAGATTTTTCTTTTAAATAGACATAAATAAATTTAGAACAAAACACTGGTATTTTGCTCTTTATTTGCATAACATTTCAGGCACGTTCTATAGACTTATTTTTATTATTTTATAATAAACAATTACCCAGACTGAGGTGGAGCTATTTAAAGGATCGTTTGATAGCAAAGATTTGGCATACATGTAATAGAATGGAAATTTCAAGTCCACTCTAATGATGGAAAATAAGATCTGTATACTGCTTTTTTAAAGTGCTTTTTCAAGTGCTTTTTTTGTCCTTATACCTTTAATAAAGTTTTCTTTAAAGAATTAAAAAGACTTCTACTTTACCCATATGAACATTAGGTGTCATTTTTAAAATGTATATTTTTTAATCTAGAGAGATTTAATGTTATACTAAGTTAGATGTGTATTGATAACATATTCTCAGAGTCACACAAAGCAGGTTTTATTTTTTGTTTTTGAACTTGAGACAAACTACTGGATTTCCTTATTTGCTAATAACTGATTCTTCTGTGCCTGCAAATTCTGTCTCTATCCAGCAACCATATTCTCTGCTGAGAGTATGTAGTGTCTCTCAGCTTGAAGTTTACTCTGCTTGTTTTGAAAAACCTTTGTCCAATGGACCTTTTTCTGCAGGCTATGCTCCTTGCGGCACACCAAAAACACTAGGGAGTGCAGACACTATTTTGGTAGGCAATAATTATGTAACAGGAAGTGGAAGTAATGGAAATGTGCCTTACCTACAGCAAAACACACTCACTCTACCTCATAACTGCATAAACCTGAGCAGCAGCACAGAAGAGCCATGGAGAAAACAGCTATATAACTCTACTCAGGTAAAAAAAAAAAAAAAAAGAGGAGCTGTTTCGTTTGCTCTTACATACTCTTTTTTTGGCTTTTGTACATTTTAAGAAGAAATAAATATGTAAGAAATATTATTTTTAAAAACGTTTTTAATAATTCATAATTATATGAGAATTTTAAGTTTTACGGTATTATTACTATATTGCGGCAGTCATCAAACTTTTGGACCTCACAGACCACCAGTGGGAGATGACCGCTGCTATAAAGTTAATTCAGTCTTTGTACCTTTGACCGCTGCTATAAAGTTAATTCAGTCTTTGTACCTTACATTCAGTTATATAATAAAAAATTATGTTAGGATAGAATGGAATAAAGGAATAGAAGAGATAAATACCAATAACCTTACAGTTCTCCGAAGTATTATTAATAATTAAGTCATGAGGACCATGTATTTTTGTTTTGTTTTTTTAAGCCCCACCTGAGAATATGTTTATTGATTTTAGAGAGAGGAAGGGGGTTAAACAGAAAGAGAGAAACATCGATTGGTTCCCTCCCATACACACCTAGACCATAGATTGAACCTGCAACCTAAATATACAGTAGGTCCTCCAGTTACATTGGAGATCCATTCGTATGGCGTGATGTAACGTGATTTTCGCCGTAACTTGGAACCCACCTTCATAACCACCTACGTTACGCACATGGAGCACATACACAGCAGTAATGAAGTGAAACAGTAAAAAAAATTTAAAAGAAAGATAACAATTTCTGACCTTTACTTGTGGTAAATAATAAAAAACAAAGCACATATCTACATATGTCGAAATGATGGAATTTTATTTTTTTTAATAAATAAATGGGAGATGGCAATGTAACCACTAAATGACATACGTTAAGTCCAACGTAACCCGAGGACTGCCTGTATTCTCTGACCAGGAATTGAACCCACAACCTTTGGGTGTATGGTACAATCCTAAACCAACTGAGGCAGCAGGCCAGGCCCATGTTTTCTTTATTTGCAATTACTATCTATAAACACTCCCTGAATAAGACCAGTATTATGCCTTGTATTAACATTTTTTTTTTATCCTCATAAGAGGATATTTTTTCCATTGATTTCTTTCTAAAGAGAGAGTGGAAGGAAGAAAGAAAGGGAAGGGAGAGTGAGAGAGACACATCAATTGGTTGTCTTCTGCAGATCCCTGACCAGAACAGGGAAATCCACAATCTCTGTGACCTTGACCAGGAATCAAACCCACAGTCCTTCGGACCAAGGGCCAACACTCTAACCAGGGAGTGAAATTGGCCCTGGATAAGCATTTATTTTAATAAGAAAAAAAAAAGACTACTAAAATGTTACTTAACAATAAATTACATTAAAATATAACCTGCAAAGTGGACAGTCAATGGGTCCGTGCTGCCTAAATGATATTATACTAGGGTCCCAGTACACAAATTTGTGCATCTTGAAAGGAACTGTGGGCTGCGAGGCTGCAGTGGGCAGAGGGGCAGGTCTTAGCCCATCCTCCATGCCCCTGCCCGGCCCCTTCTGCCACGGCCCCCAGACCCCCGTCTACCGGCAGCCTCACTCCTGCTGTTCCACTCACACATGCTGACGGCCCCAATCGCTCCACGCTGTCAGCAGGTGTGAGCAGCGGCTGCTGCCCTGATCACCCCATAGGAGCAGGGGGAGGTGAAGCGCTCAGGGGTGATCGGGGCCAGCAGCTGCCTCTTGCACCTGCTGATGGCTCCAAGCAATCGGGACCAATGCTGGGCGTCGGCAGCGGGTGCGAGTAGTGGCTCTAGTGCTGGCTGCGGGTGTGAGCGGTGGCTTTGGTGCCAGCAGTGGGTCTGAGCAGGGCCAGTGCCATCAGCAGGTGCGAGCTGTGGCTGTTGTCCTGATCACCCCTCAGGAGCAGGGGGAGGTGGAGAAGCCCTCTGGGACGATCAGGGCCGGCAGCCACCACTTGCTCCCACTGATGGCACCGAATGATTGGGACTGGTGCCAGGCAGCAGGTGCGAGTAGTGACACTGGCCATGGGTGCAAGCGGGGCCGGTGCTGGCAGTGGGTGAGAGCAGCAGCTCTGGCGCCAGCAGCGGGTACAAACGCCGGGTGGTACCGTGGCGCACGGGAGCAAAGAATTTTCAGTAACCACAAGAGGCTCGTCCAATGACAGAAACCAGTGCCCCGCCTTGGTGTAACACCCCCACTCACCTGCTCCATCATCCCACTGCAGCCAACACCTGCTCTATTCCGCACACACCCCTTGGTGGTCAACCCAAGTCATAGCAGCCTGTTCCGCCATTTGGTCTATTTGCATATTAGCCTTAGGATATACCTATGTATATATATAAAAAACCTGCACTAGTGTGGGAAAGTGGCTTTGGAAAAATGAATATATTAAAGTCTTAGAAAATTGAGAGAATTAGAAACAGGAAAAGGCAGGTAAAATGTGGTTAGAGTGTAATTTATAAATAGAGGGTGAAATGTGAACCTAAAGAATGGCCATAATTTATCTTGAGGGTAAATTGGAAACATTAAAGGTTTTGATGTAGAGGTTCTTGAATAACTTCTTTTTAAAGATTTATTGATCACTAGACTACATTTTAGAGCATTTTAGGTTTATTGAAAATTTAGCAGACATTACAAAAAATTCCCAAAACTTCCATTACCTGTGGTTTTTCCCCATCTTGAACACCTAATAGAAGTGTAGTACTGATGCCAGGGGCACTAGTGAGGCAAATGGAGTCCTCAACCCAATACCTGGATTCAGGTTCTTGTCGTCGTCCAAGAAAGGCTTTGAGAGTGTGAGAGAAATTTAACAAATATCAGTAAATTTATTAAAGCAATAATATGCTCTCAAGAAGTGAGAGTGGAGACTTTGGAGAACAAGACCCAGATGGGGTCTGGGTCAGATGTTTTTGTTAAATGGTAACAGGAGAATAGGATGGTCCTTGGTTTCTGATGTTGGTGGGATGACTACCTGTGCATCTTGTCCTCCATAATTGTCACAAAGATTTGAGAACAAGTGTAGTTTCAAAATTGTAATATAAATGTACTAGTGCCCTCGGTGCACAGATTCATATACATTGAATGGAAATTAATTAGAAGGTGACTGGCAGGGTGGGACTGGGCAAGATGGACCAGACACGCCCTGGAGCCAACCTCTTTTGGTCCCTCCCTGGCTGGCTGCATCTTGGGCAGCACTGCAGCTTGAAGGGCATCTGTTGAGTGAGCATGGTCCCTCTGGCAGGTGGGGTCCGTTGGCCTAACCTGTGGGGATTGGGCCGAACATGACAGTCCGACATCCCCCAAGGGGTCACGGATTGCAAGAGGATGGTTCTCAAGTGACGAAACCTGGAATAAGGCTCCCTCCTCTCGGTTAACCCAAGAACCACCGCTGCCAAGTCAATGCAGCTCAGTACCTCCTGTGTTGAGCTGTGTGTCTGCCCCCTGGTGGTCATTACGCGTCATAGCTACTGGTCAGATGGTCACTTAGCCTTTTATATATATACTAGAGGTCCGGTGCACAAAAATTTGTGC